GGGGGATACGAAAGAAATACAATTTCGAAATCTCTCAGGTTTCGATGATTGATTTACGGAGCGGGAATATCGAGAGGGCATCGATGGATCAAAGACGCGAGGAGGATGGGTGAAAACGATGAAGCTGCGCCGCGATGCCGGAAACGGACTCTAATACCATTTTTTCGCGCTCGGTAATACCGAGTAACGGTACAGTTTCGAGGATTCTCCGTTGTAATCCGGATCAACGGTGGACGAGCTTTATTTCTCGGCATCACGTGAATCCTTGCGAAAATCGCAAAATAGAAGGGGGCGGAGGGAGGGGTTGAACGTGACACACGATGAATCCAGGATGGCGCGTCCCTCCGCGACGGAACCGATATCGAATCGTTGAAAATTTTCCAAAGCCGGACATCGTGTAATCGTTCCTCCCGAATATGAAACTCGGCGGCGTAGCTTCGAAAAATAATGGGTGAAACTTGATCGGAGATCCTCCCTTGTGCTTTCTCCCTTGTTATTCAAGGGTATTTGTTATCGGCTAGCTTTTAAATATACCTTTTTTTTTTTTTCCCCTCCCTCGTTTTGTCTGTGCTTTTGCCAGATTTTTACGCGGTATTTTTTTTTCCAATCGATACGATAATTTTAAATTTTAAAATCACGAGGGAAGAATTCACGGGGAAGGGGGTCGGTATCGAACGGATAAGAAGGCAAGAAGAAGGAGAAGAAGAATCTGTTTAATCTTCTCTTAATGTATTAGCGTTCGCTGATAATTCCGTTGGACGAGCTCGATCGACGAGTTTTTATTGAAAATTTGCTTTGATCCTGGCTGAATTTACCAATTTCCGCGAGGTATGTTAAACAGAGAGAGGAAAAGGCTCGCCTTATTTCGCCGTTTTTGATCCCATCTTCACGGTTTCGCGAATCGTGTCCCGGTAAACTCGACCCATTAAGAATTGCGCCAAGCTTCGAACAGTTGCAGTTTAAGTGCATAAATTATGAGAAGATCTTTCAAAAAGTTTCTCGAACGGGGAAGGGGAAAGGGGAAAGTGGGGTAGGAAAGTTCGATACTCTCTCTGTCCCTCTATCTCCCAAACCTTTCCACGGACTTTTATCGATAGAACCAGAATCCTTCGCCGGGAGTCCGATTAATTGAGTTCTCCTTCTCGTACCTTTTTTTTTTTTTTTTTTTTTTTTCACTTGGCGGAGAAACGTCCTCCCCCACTTTCTTACCGTCGTGTCTCTTCCGAGCTTCAACCTTCTCTCTTCCCCCGCCCTTCCTCCGCGTCGATTAATCTCGATCCCCATGAAATCGCGTTACTCGCCTTGTTCCATTCCCTTGACTCGACGAACGAACCATCTTTTCTTCCATCCACGCGGAACAAGGGCAGATTTCTTACGAATTCAATTCACACCGTGATAATAATTCGCAAAGTTGATAATAATTAATCGAAATAGAACGAGAAGATGCTTTGAAAATGATTGTCCAATTTTCATTATCGACGCAGAATCTTTTCACGAAAAACAATTCTCTAAAAACTAGGATACTAAAATAGCAATGCGATTTACATTTTATAGAAGATAGTCTCTTCTTTATAAAAGTCGTAAATAAAGACGTTTTAGACCCAGTTTATCACGAATCCAGAAGCCTACCCTACTTTCGAATCGAGCAAACTATCTCAAACTATTTCGACACTTCCTAAGCAAGTCAGTCCCCTCCTCCCCCTTCAAGAAAGTTCCTCAGACTTCTAAATAGATGGTAATCCTTGGAAGAGAAGGGTGCAACAACTTCCTACTTTAATCCTATCTTATTTTATCCCTTTTTTTTTTTTTATCCTATCCTCTTCAAACAAGACAATTTTTATTTCCCATTAAGACGATCTTCTTTCTTGAACGATCGAATCGTCCTCGTTCGTTCACAAAGAAATTTTCCATTTTTCCGTTTCGACGAGCAATAAACGCGAATGAATCGAATTTCGAAAAAAAAAAAAAAATACTTATCGTCGAGGAATAACGTTGGCCGAAGATTGCGGCCGAACTCGAGAGGATTAGATTCTCTCCGCCTTGCAATCGCTTCGATCACTCGTTCGGGAAAATATCCTTCGAGCGATCATCCGCGGATTTTGTTTAAAAAAAAAAAAAAAAAAAGAACGGTTCGAGACTAACCCGAGCAATTACGTCGCGAAAGTTTCTTTCGAAAGTTTTTCCACGCTTAACGAGCGTGATAAATTTCTGTTACGCGCTCCCAGGAGCTGGCGAATCCCTGGGCCCCGAGAGTTTACAACGGCGATAAAAATCTCGTTGAAATTATTCATGGGCCGAGCTTGTACTTTGCCCTTCTCTCCATTCAACGGCCAGAAAATTGGTAAAGGAGGAGGAGGAGGGAAGGGAGGGAGAGAAAGATTTTGTCTCGTCGCGTGGCCGAGAGATCCGACTCCCCGTTAATTTTAATCAACGCCCGGCAATAAGGATTTTCTTTCAACCTGTTCATAAATTAATTAATTTTTAGACAGCCCCCATTCATTTCCGTATCCTCGGCCGATGGATATCTACTATTGGATTCGCCAAGTCGCGTCCCCGAAAAATAAATCCTGTACAATTCGATTCAAGCTAGAATAGAGTAGATTCCGGAAACGGAATTTTAAAAACGCGAATGTTAATGTCTCAACCGGAAGTTTGATTAACATATTAATAAACGTGAATTATATTCCGGCTTTTACATGTTGATTAATGCAACGTCCGTGTATCTCGGATAATAACGTTTGTAACAAAGGTTTTATCGAGGCTTTGGCACGGTCATCGATAATAACGTAGTTATCGAAATAAATTAGGCTGTCGTAGGTGACTTTGATTTCCGATCAGAATGACATCAATAGATCCACCGAGGAATTCTACATTGTTCCCCCGAAACGACAGGGGAAATCTCATTTTTCACTATCGATCTGATTGATCCCCCCATTTTTTTTTTTTTTTTTTTTTTGTTTCCATGCCCTCGACGCCCGAATTTTCAGGTGAAAATATTCACGAAAAACCTCTCGAACCTGTATATTCCCGGCTTTTTGTTCGGTCGGTCAGCTCGCTAATTAACCAAAAATTCGCCCGTTATTCAAAATTGCCACTTGGCTTAATTGAAATTTAATCGAATCATTCCTTTTCTTTAAACAAATTATATTATAAAAATTGTATATAAAATAATGTTTTTTTTTTTTTTGTTACACGAGTCTCCAACTTGACGAATTTATATTTCTCCCTTCACGGCAATATACGTAGCCCGAGCGGAACCATCGCATTTATGGATTTTTCCTTCGTGTTTTTCAACCTCCATCTATTGACCAGTCGCATGATCGAGAGGTCTACGCCTCGATAACCCCTCTCGCGCGTATATTCGAAAAAATACCCGAGGGACGCATCGAATCCAAGCTCCAGGTATCTTTGCGGCGGATAAAAGCATCAGTGTCACGAGATGACATTGGTTTCTTTGATAAATTGCAAGGAACGAGCGGGCTAATCGGGTAAATTGTTGAATAATTGAACGACGAAAATTTTTCGAATTTTCCTACGCGCCTCTCTTACTTTCTTGATCAAAAATCTTATATAAATTATACACGGATTTTCTCAACGACGATATCTATAATGTATTATCGATCTTTGGTAGACTTTGAACCGC